ATATAAACAAATTCATAAAGGTTAGTCATTTTCTCATGTTCAATGAGGAGTAAGGCATGTAGGACTTCCCCAGAAGAAATAATTAGAGATTATGTTTTTGTTCATGCTTTTGGTGTTTGTTGTTATTTTCAGGCGCCCCATTACATGACATTATCATGTAGACTAGGCGCCCCATTCTAATGACATTATAATGTAGACTAGGCGCCCCATTCTAATGACATTATAATGTAGACAAAGCGCCCCATTACATGTCATTATCATGTAGACCAGGCGCCCCATTATAATGACATTATCATGTAAGACCAGGCGCCCCATTTAATGACATTACCATGTAGACCAAGCGCCCCATTTTAATGACATTACCATGTAGACCAAGCGACCCATTACAATGACATTATCATGTAGACCAGGCGACCCATTACAATGACATTATCATGTAGACCGAGCGCCCAATTGCAATGACATTTTAAAGTAGACCAGGCGCCCCATTGCAATGACATTATCATGTTGACCGGGCGCCCAATTACAATGACACTATCATGTAGACAAGGCGCCCATTACAATGACATTATCATGTAGCCCAGGCGCCCCATTACAATTACATTATCATGTAGACCTGGCACCCCATTACAATGACATTATCATGTAGACCTGGCGCCCCATTACAATGACATTATCATGTAGACCGGGCGCCCCATTAAATAACATTATCATGTGGACCTGGCGCCCCATTACAATGGCATTATCATGTAGCCCAGGCGCCCAATTACAATAATATTATCATGTAGTAATGTGTTTATAGGCATCACAACAGTCAGCAGCAAGCGTTTACTAATAAAGAAAGCAATTATTTCAAGCAGGATCACAAGAGACTCTTGCCAAGGGACGAATGTCAGAGTCACGTACAGGCAAGTATACTTTTATCACAGGTGAGTATACTTTAGCTACAGGTAAGTATACTTTTATCATAGGTGAGTATATTTTAGCTACATGTAAGTATACTTTATCACAGGTGAGTATACTTTAGTTACAGGCAAGTATACTTTTATCACAGGTGAGTATACTTTAGCTACATGTAAGTATAATTTTATCACAGGTGAGTATACTTTAGCTACATATAAGTATACTTTTATCATAAGTGAATATACTTAAAGTTACAGGTAAGTATATTTTTATCACAGGTGAGTATACTTTAGTTACAGGTAAGTATACTTGGTAAGCATAATTCAGTTACAGGTAAGTATACTTTAGTAACAGGTAAGTATATTTTAGTTACAGTTAAGTATACTATTAATAGAGGTAAGGATACTTTAGTTACATGTAAGTATACTTAAGTTAAGATAATCATACTTCAATTACAGGTAAGCATATTTAGTTACAAGTAACCATAATTTAGTTACAGGTAAGCGTATTTTAGTTCAGGTAAACATACTTTAGTTACAGGTAAGCATATTTTTATTACAGGTAAGCATACTTTAGTTACAAGTTACCGGTAAGCATATTTTAGTTACAGGTAAGTATACTTTAGTTACAGGGAAGTATACTCTAGTCACACAGCTTTTTGACTGAACTCATCTCACCCTCGTAAGAAAAGTTGTGCGTTGCCACAAGTCGTACACAACCTTAGAACACTCACCACACACATAGACAACATCACCCACCACACACATAGACATCATCACCCACCACACACATAGACAACGTCCCCCACCACACACATAGACAACATCACCCACCACACACATAGACAACATCACCCACCACACACATAGACAACATCACCTATCACACGCATAGACACATATACAACATCACCCACCACACACATAGACAACATCACCTACCACATGCATAGACACATAGACAACATCACCCACCACACACATAGACAACATCACCCACCACACACATAGACAGCATCCCCCACCACACACATAGGCAACATCACCCACCACACACATAGACAACATCACCCACCACACACATAGACAACACCACCCACCACACACAATCACCCACCACACACATAGACAACATCACCCACCACACACATAGACAGCATCCCCCACCACACACATAGGCAACATCACCCACCACACACATAGACAACATCACCCACCACACACATAGACAACATCACCCACCACACACAAAGACAACATCACCTACCACGCGCATAGACACATAGACAACATCACCCACCACACACATAGACAACATCCCCAACCACACACATAGACAACATCACCCACCACACACATTGACAACATCACCCACCACACACATAGACAACATCCCCCACCACACACATAGACAACATAATCGCAGTGCGAGTTTTAACTTAAACAGTACAGCCGATAAGGTCAAGATCTAACACCAAAATCACCCTTGCAACGCAACAGAAACCCAACAATGTCATCCACTAATCACCCTTGCAACACAACAAGAACCCAACTATGTAAACCACTTATCCTAACTTAATCACCCTTGCAACACAACAAGAACCCAACTATGTAAACCACTTATCCTAAACTAAATCCATCTTGCAACACAACAGAACACCAACAATGTAAACCTATTATCCTAAACTAAGCCCTGCTTACCACACGACAGAGAACCCACAGTGTCTTAACCCCCTATAGCCCCCCCAAAAAAAAAAAAAATCACACCCTCAGTCATTAATTACATTATGTTTCCATGCCCCCACACTCCCCACCCATTCTTCGCAATTACATCACCCCCCCCTCCCCGGCCCTGACTTGTTTCTGTCCCCCCCAGCCCCTGCTTGTTTCTCGCCCCCCCCCCCCAAAGCGTCTCTTAGCGTGCAGCCCTTTAAAAACAGTTTATCATAATTAACTTTTTTTTTGGTTTCTTTTATTTTTTCCTCATCTCCTTCGCGCCTCTAAACAACTCCCACCAATTCAATCACAGCGAAAAAACGAAACAAAAACAAAAGAAAAACAAAACAAAACCTCATGGCTTCCCCCATGAGCCGGAAGTTGTACAAAAACCACCCCAGGGCCTGACGGTCAGGACGGCCGCCGCCAAAGCGAGGCTTAAATTTGAACGTGCCCATTAGATCAGTTGTTTCAAACTCGCGGCCCGCGGGTCATTTGCGGCCCGCAAGACGATATTTTGCGGGACCTGTAACTGACAGGAAAGTTCAGTGTAAATGCGGTCCGCAACCCATTCTCATATCTATAATGTGACCCTCAGCGACGGTTTCAGTCGAATCTCACCGACTAGTCTAATTGTGACAATTTTTTTACTATGTTTTTATAGGTTTGAACGTTAATTAAAATGGGAAAAAACACTTTTAGATCGGACAAAAAGTTTTTATTTCATAGCATTTTATGAGACAAACATGGCCAAAGTACGAATTTGAACACAGGTTTGCAGAATTTAAAACACACAGAGACATTTTTCAAATGTGAGCTGACCTTTCATCCCTCAATGTGGAAGATTCCCACACCACCTTTTTTTTTTTTTTTTTTTTTTTTTTTTTTTTTTTTTTTTGTTTTTTTTTTTTTTTTTTTTTGCGCTTCAAATAGAGCTGATTGATATTCAGTGCAATTCTGAACTCAAGACTAAGTTCAGGGAGGTGAATGGAAAATCAGAAAGCTTGGAAAATGTATAAGAGAATTGCCTTCCAACTTCCCTGAGATTTCCAGGTTTTTTAAGCGGATCACGTCAATGTTCAGGGCCAAATTTACCGATGGACATCTTCAAGGTATCCTGAGGGTCTCAGTTGCTTCCTCACTCAAACTAAATGTTGCTCAGCTGTATAAGAAGAAACGCTCCCAGGTCTCTGGCAACAAGGGTTAGGAAGCCTAGTTCTCAAGAACCCTTAATGTTTGTATTTGTTATTAATAAAGGTTAAGCAGATTATAACAGTTGTTCTTTATTAGATTGTTATCGCTTTTGTGTGTGTGTGTGTGAAATACTTGCTGATGCCCAGTCTCACTCAGACTCTACCTCCTGCGGCCCCGGATCATTTGAGTTTGAGACCCCTGCATTAGATCATATAGGACACGGTGAAAGTGAAATGACAGTCGATTAAAAGAACAACTCATTTGTGTTCTAAGCGGGCTGAATTATAAGTGAACAAAATCTAGGTAACAGGTTAAAATAGATAACGATATCTAAATGAAAACTTCAGCTAGACCGATGTACAATTAACAAAGGCGTTTCCTTCAGACTAAAGTGCACGTGACCTTCAACGTCACTTAAACGACACTTACAAACAAGTAATGATTGATTGAACGAAACTATTGCTTTATTTCAAGAAAAATCTGGTCTAATCTTACAATCTGATACTTTTGTAACGACACATTTATGGCTCCCCGATGTCTTTGGCCGTGAACATCAGAGCCACTAAACTGTTTCTGTATTTAAAGGCTCACAGCACATCTATGGCTCACTGATGTCTTTGGCCGTGAACATCAGAGCCACTAAGCCGTTTCTGTATTTAAAGGCTCACAGCACATCTATGGCTCACTGATGTCTTTGGCTGTGAAAATCATAGCCACTAAACTGTTTCTGTATTTGGGGGCTCACACCACATCTATGGCTCACTGATTTCTTTGGCCGCCAACATCAGAGCCACTAAACTGTTTCTGTATTTGGGGGCTCACAACACATCTATGGCTCACTGATTTCTTTGGTCGCGAACATCAGAGCCACTAAACTGTTTCTGTCTTCGGGGGCTCACAACAAATCTATGGCTCACTGATGTCTTTGGCCGCCAACATCAGAGCCTCTAAACTGTTTCTGTATTTGGGGGCTCACGACACATCTATGGCTCACTGATGTCTTTGGCCGTGAACATCAGAGCCACTAAACTGTTTCTGTATTTGGGGGCTCACAACACATCTATGGCTCACTGATGTCTTTGGCCGCGAACATCAGAGCCTCTAAACTGTTTCTGAATTTGGGGGCTCACGAAACATTAATGGCTCACTGATGTCTTTGGCCGCGAACATCAGAGCCAATAAACTGTTTCTGTACTTGGAGCTCATCGTGTAGTACAGGATGATGCCGACGCTGGCGTGGACCGCCTCCAGAACCTTGATGAAGGAGAACGCAACACCGATGTAGAACACAAAGACGGGGACCAGGGGCGGCTCGTCAGCTATCGCGCCGTACACGATCTGGGCCACGGCTGTCGGGAGGAAGCTGACGATGAACAGAACCGAGATCATCACCACCATTTTCACGACCTTCTTCTCCCTGCCGGACACGCTCTGCCCGAGTTCACGCGACGGGCCGACAGCGGACTTGGCCCTCCATTGGGAGGTCTGCTTCAGCTGAGCCGAGGACACGGCCGTGCAGACGACGACGATGGAGAAAGATCCGAACGGAAAAATCAGGTTGACCGAGAAGGCGATGCCGTCAATCTCTTCACTCATGGCTCTGGCCACTTGACCAATGACCGTTCTGTTACGGCCCGGGCTAAAGACCCACTCCAAAGTACTGGTGCAAAACAGGGGCGTCTGGGCGGCGCCGACAACCAGAAAGATGGAGACCATGAACCAAGCGACCAGTCTCGGCGTGATGATGGCCTTCACCTTGAGCGGCAAGGCGATGCAAAGGCAGCGCTCGAAGGCGACAAACGCGGTGATCCACCCGGAGACGCGGGTGAACAAGAGATGGGGCATACTTCCGGTCAAGTACTCGACGTCCTTGGGTATGAAAGGAAGGTCAGTGTAGTACATCAACGGGTTCCAGCAGATGGAGACCCAGAGGGAGGTCACTAGGGACATTAAATCGGAAATTGCCAGTCCTGTCAGAGATATGTTCACTGTGTCCTTGAACCCTTGATAGGAAAACAAAACGCACACATTATAGTAAAGTATTTTTAGGTTCGCAAAGTACACATTATATAGTGAAGCATTGTTAGGTTCACAAAGTAAATATAGGGAATTATTGAGAACGACGCGAGGATTTGCATGGGTCAACTTAGTTTGTACGTATCGTCGATCAAACGTGTAATGTGTAATGAAGATCCACGCCATTTTAAGAAACCTTTTAAGTAGGATCATGCGATATAAGTCTGGTCATGTGCTATTAGTCTGGTCATGTGCTATAAGTCTGGTCATGTGCTATAAGTCTGGTCATGAGCTATAAGTCTGGGCATGTGATATAAGTCTGGTCATGGGATATAAGTCTGTTTATGTGCTATAAGTCTGGTCATGTGCTATAAGTCTGGTCATGTGCTATAAGTCTGGTCATGTGCTATAAGTCTGGTCATGTGCTATAAGTCTGGTCATGTGCTATAAGTTTGGTCATGTGATAGAAGTCTGGTCATGATATATAAGTGTGGTCATGGGATATAAGTCTGGTCATGGGATATAAGTCTGGTCATATGATATAAGTCTGGTCACGTGCAATGAGTCTGACCATGCGATTTGATATAGTTGAGCTCCAAACGATATTGATGGGATACTTGCACCACAATGTCATTAATTACTTAAGAGCACTGAGGCTCTCTTATGTCTTTTACATTGCCCTTACAAAGAAAATTAACACTGGCCCGACGTCCTTGCGTCACTACCTTTAGCTCGAGCATATCAGACCACGCTAGCGAAGCCCTTAGGTCGGTGCCCTTACCTTGCTGGTAGAACACAATGATGTTGATGACGTTGGCCGCCATGCCCAGCAGAGAGACGACACCGCAAGCCGTTTGGTTGACGAACATGAGTACCAGCATGGCGGGGTTGTTCTCGTACGTCAGCCACGCGACGAGTTGAGAACCGCTGGCGGCCGTCGCGATGTCGTCGGGGGCGGCGTTTTGTGGGGGCGACGTCATGACGTCACTTTCGTCACCCGGGAACAATCAAGACGACAAAGCAGCTCTGAACATTTGCGTGTACGTGTGTGTGTTGAAGTACCGAAAAAACTTTGAGAATAAGTCTGAACCAATCTCTGGAAGTGATTCTCTTGTTATTGTTAACGGTCCACGACGTTAATTCATTTTTTCCCCCTAGTTTGCTTGAAGTGTGTAAATAAAAAATAGTGTAGAAAACTGTAATGTGTTGTGTCACTTGTAGATTTCTTCTTCTTATTAGAAAAACTAAAACTAAAATAGCAAAATTAACGCCGGCATAAGGATTCGAAAGTAATCAAATGTCCACCAGTCAGTGGATCAGACGGACTTCAAAGTTGATGTGGCAGAGTGAACATTTGGTCACCACTGGTTTAAAGGTTACGGTCTTTTTAAAATTTATTTTGATTTGAAAAACCCGGTGTCTTTGTTAAGGGGAGATGGAGATGTCTTGGGTCTCTTCAACACGGCCGCGTAGGAAGGTAACACGATCTGATTCAATAGGTCCCGGTTGTCGCCACCGGCGTTTGACGTTTAATGAACGAATCCTGGGAGACTCTTGACAAAATAAAAGCACAACAAAAACCTATCTGGTGTTGCGAAGCTCTACGAGTATTTTTCGTTTGTTCTCTCGGAAATGAATGATGAAGTATTTCATTTAGAAAAATTGGTATTAGATTTATAGATCAGGACCAGTTGCTATAGAGATAGGGCATTTTTCAGACTTAACAAAAGTCAAAGCTCTTATTTGTTAAGACAGTGGTTATGCATCGTGCCGAACGATCTACGACCGTCATAGGACAAGAGGGGGTAGGCAATTCTATAGATACTTTAGTTGATTACTTTCAGTTAAACCACGACGTGCATACAAGAATAAAAAGTAATATACTAAAGGCTTTAGTATTCCTCACTATCAATGGATAAAATGCTCACTATTATACCAATGGATAAATTACCCACAGCCAATGAATAAATTTCTCACTGTCAATGCTAAATTGCTCACTGTCAATGCTAAATTGCTCACTATCAATGGCTAAATTGCTCACTATCAATGGCTAAATTGCTCACTATCAATGGCTAAATTGCTCACTATCAATGGCAAAATTGCTCACTATCAATGGCTAAATTGCTCACTATCAATGCTAAATTGCTCACTATGAATGGCTAAATTGCTCACTATCAATGCTAAATTGCTCACTATCAATGGCTAAATTGCTCACAATCAATGCTAAATTGCTCACTAACAATGGCTAAATTTCTCACTATCAATGCTAAATTGCTCACTATCAATGCTAAATTGCTCACTATCAATGACTAAATTGCTCACAATCAATGATAAATTGCTCACTATCAAATGGACAAATTGCTTACTATCAATGCCTAAATTGCTCACTATCAATGCTAAATTGCTCACTATCAATGGCTAAATTGCTCACAATCAATGATAAATTGCTCACTATCAAATGGACAAATTGCTCACTATCAAATGGACAAATTGCTCACTATCAATGCCTAAATTGCTCACTATCGATGGCTAAATCGCTCACTATCAATGGCTAAATCGCTCACTATCAATGGCTAAATTGCTTACTACCAATGGCTAAATTTGCCACTAAAATCAAATCTATTCTATCTTTATTTCGGGAGTGACCAGTAGTATCCGCTGTCCCCTAGGGTGGAGGGGTCAGTTGACGTCCGTCAGTAAATGCCTTGTAAAATTCACTCCTTTGATTCTTACGAGTGGATATGGAAAAAGGGGGACTCGGAATGGGCGACTCTTTACTCACTGACACAAGTGGCAGCATCTGGGTGTAGGTAGCTCATCAGGTTGTGTACAGTAAATTAAAATATATATATATATATATATATATATATTATGGCTGGTTCGTCTACTTTATAAAATGGTGTGCGGAGTTTTGCATAAAAAACATCAGATCCTCATATATAATGTTGATGTTACTTTATAAGTATATATATATATATATATATATTTTTTTTTTTTCAATGCACATTTTCTATTTGTCAAGTAAATGTATTTAATAAATTTATTTGTATGTCTTTTTATAATTTGATTGTTTTATTCTGTCACTACACACAGCGCTTCGGGTTTTCCCGGAGCTGAACTATGTGCACTGTGACAGTTTGAAGTGTCTTAGCAACTGTGTGCACTGTTACAGTTTGAAGTGTCTTAGCAACTGTGTGCAATGTGACAGTTTGAAGTGTCTTAGCAACTGTGTGCAATGTGACAGTTTGAAGTGTCTTTGCAACTGTGTGCACTGTGGCAGTTTGAAGTGTCTTAGCAAATGTGTGCACTGTGACAGTTTGAAGTGTCTTGGCAAATGTGTGCACTGTGACAGTTTGAAGTGTCTTAGCAACTGTGTGCACTGTGACAGTTTGAAGTGTCTTAGCAACTGTGTGCACTGTGACAGTTTGTAGTGTCTTAGCAACTGTGTGCACTGTGATAGTTTAAAGTGTCTTAGCAACTGGGTGCCCTGTGACAGTTTAAAGTGTCTTTGCAACGGTGTACACTGTGACAGTTTGAAGAGTCTTTGCAACTGTGTACACTGTGACAGTTTGAAGAGTCTTTGCAACTGTGTACACTGTGACAGTTTGAAGAGTCTTTGCAACTGTGTACACTGTGACAGTTTAAAGTGTCTTTGCAACTGTGTGCAATGACAATTTAATGTGTCTTAGCAACTGTGCGACAGATTAAAGTGTCAGAGGCGGGTTTCATCCTCTACATCGTATGGAGACTGTGTCTGTTTAGCCCCACAGTGAAATGTGTCCGCGAGAGAAAAGTGCCCGCACGCCACTTCTTCCAAAATTAACAAAACAATTCTCCCAAAGGGTCTCTAGTGGGAACAACCTCAACACACTTTTCTTGACTGCGGTTGACCGAAGAGCGATTATCCTATGTGCATAGTTTCAAGTGGTAAACTACACCAGGGGTGCCACTCACTGAAAGCTGTGAACCCTGAAATCCCTTTCTAAAAATTTCTTGAAACCTGAAATTTCATTTACAAATTTTTCAATCCCTGAAACTTAATGAAACTCAAAATTCCTGATTATCGCAATGCGGCATTTTGTTGATTAATATAAAAACAAGCATGAAATTATCAAATAAAACATTGAGATACATCACAAATGAACAAAATTAAGCAATTAAGGTGTATACATGTAAACATTTATTAGTATTTATTAAATTTACAGCAATAGCAATTTTTCAATTTACTTAGACTTGAAAAGTCAACTTTTGCAATGAGTTATCTGGGCATTTTAGAACAAAAGTATAGCTACCACAAGTGGAAAGTATCTTTTCATATATGGAGTTAATGTTCTCTTCTTTATGATGAAAATGGATAGTTTGAATCAACACACTTTAGTGTCTTATACTATCTCCCAAGTGTGAGAGTTTCATAGTTTGACACATAAATTTCATAAATTGAGAAGTTACAAAAGTGGACACCTAAGATGGTTGATAAAGCTGGTATCATCAGATGATTGACTCAGACATTTTCCCCTTGAATACTTGATATCAATATTTCCAGCATAGTATTCATTGATGGCTTATTCAATCATGATTGCCAATTGCTGTACTGTAACTAATGCCCATCAGTTCTTTAAAGTTAAAGGAACTGTTAACTGTTGGGCATTACATATTTTTATTGAGCCTAGATCCTGAATAGTGAAACAAAATAAAATATATCATATTAGATTTATAGTTTATAGTAAGGCATACATAATAATAATATCGACTATATTATACCAGTATTTAACTACGGCACTATTGCTACGGTAATACAGAGCATTATGAATACTAGTAATAGTAGAATTACAAATTACCGTAAAGTATACCCAGAGTCAGAACACGGGAGTGCATAACTAATAAATAAAAACTAACTAAATTATACAGTTATGTCAAGCTCATTACAGAACGGATAAAAATAACTTAATCATATTGGCCTATTTAAAATTAGAAGGCTTACTCCGTAATTAAATGTAAAGTGAACTTAAGAAGTCTTTAAAAAAAAGTTAAACGCCGCCTAGCTCTTCTAATAAAAAAAAAAAAAAATACAAGTCGCCTGCATACAGTAAGAAGCTATTTAACAAAGTACGCTAAGCTTAGTCTTGTTAGACAGCGCTCGGGCGAGTAGTTTTCTTTTAATGATAATGGTTACCCAACAGACCCAACAATTAAAAACTAAATTAAAAAGATATTTACTAAATTTTACACTTTGCTTACCCAAACACTTCAAATATCTCTTGATCGGCGACGTGAACAGAAAATAAATATTTCTGGTCTATCGAAGTGGTACGGTACTCGAAACGCGTAGTGTAAAGCGCATGCGCAAGGGGAAACCACTAGCTCTCTGGCAACAGAAAGGCTAAAAATAGACGAGATCGGCGATTAACGCCCATTTTCAAGGAATTTTCCTGGTTTTTCGCGAATTCCGTTGCACGTTGATTCTTTAAAAAAAAACAACAGACAGAATCCGTATTTGAAAAAATTGAACTGGCGAACCCGGAAAGAGAGAATATAAAAACTCGCGAATCCGGAACTGAAAAATATTTAGCCTCACGAATCCGGAATTCCGGGATAACCCGGAAAAGTGGCACCCCTGAACTACACCGTCTGGCACAATCCTATGCGCTTAAGTACAGTTCCCCCGAAAAGGAAGCTACTACCAGCAAGCATCGAGGAACAGAGTTTCAACTGCCGGAAGTCCACACATTCATTAACTTGAAATTCCAATTGCGTAAAAAAAAATATTGAAAAATTAAAAATAAATCCTAAGCAAACAACGAATAAAAACAGTTAGTTCTGGTAATAAGCATCGGTGTTTGGTCAGCGCCAGCAGAAGTGGCGTTTAGTT